GGGCAATTTCAAGACAAAGTTTTATTTACTTAGTAAGTATCCCAATGAGAAATGCTGTATTTTTATGGAATATAATCAGATTGCTATCGATATTGCTTGCTATCCATCCTACAGTATGAATTTTTACTTCACAGACTACTTGCCAGTCCCTGCTACTCTGGTGTAAATCCTATTGCTCAGCGCATGCTGAGGGAGTTTAACATGCAGAGAGATTTATTAGTAGGGCCTGCAATGTCTCCAACAGTGAAAGTTACTTCAGGGACAAGAACAAAAACGGGAGAAAGGCAGAGAGACAAAAGGGAAGTGAAATCTGCCCACGAGGGACAGCCAGGCAGTGAGGATGGCAGCCAGGAACTCCGCAGGACGCTCCATGGTGCTACTGCTGGCTCCAGCTGCTGCAGGGAACCCAGCTCCAGGCTGCAGCCCCTTCCTGCTACACAGGCACAGATAAAACCTACTGTAGTCACCAGCCTGCAGAAAGCTCAGCACAGGAACCATTTTTTTCTTTTGCCTCATGAGCAAAAAGATTAAGCTATTCCCAAAGACCAAACTCCATTTATTTCTAGTAATGCTTATATTTAAAAATAAAATAAATAAAAAAAACACCTCTATCAATATCTTCAAGATTTGATTTTAAAACACCAACATCACTCTAACGAGACTTTAGACAGTCTTAACCTAAGATATACCACTACAGCATCCCTTCCTCAAAGCCTGGAGCAATAGCCTTACCAATCATATCCAATAAGGCAGGCAAGCAATGAGTATCATGTCTGCAGACACCACATCATGAATAGACAGTTGGTCACTTAATAAAAACACCCTCTTAAGAATTGTAATTTGCATTGTTTATGTTTCTCATGTCAGTCTCATGTCATCTGCTGAGAAAAGCTTATCTACTGGTGGAAACTGGAGGAATAAAACCATTATCCAGGTGGGTTACAGCTAGCTACTGATTATTCAGTACCGATTTCACTTTGAAGAGCCTTCTAATATTAGAATAAAAAAAAAAAAAAAACTATGACACCACTTCAAAAATCAGAGGCAGCGTTTTTAACCTCTGTCCTTTTGCATTAATGCAGCAGTGCCTGGAAAAGCTACAGCAATAGAAGAGGAATCATTGAGGCAGTTCCCTTCACACCACTACTGTAGCTGAAAGGGACAGAAATCAAGAAACATTAGAATCAGTGTAAGCCAATGCAGGCATTAAAGAAGAGTACAACACACAGAACTTAAACAAAATCTGTTAAAAGGCACAGAGAAAACATTTCTGAGCAAAGAGTGACTTATTTTCTGGAGGTGTTCCAGATTTTCAGTTTCCATCTGGAGGTACTTAGTGCTGTGATAAGGCAAGAGGAAGTTTCCAGCTGCAACACAAGAGTGCATCATGTTTGACATGAAAGACCTACAAGTCGGACAATCACAGTCAAGTCAAAATCGTTAGGATCTAAACAAGGACAGACACATATTCATAAGCATCAAACCAGTATTCATGTCTGTATACACAAACATTTTAAAATAAGAGCAAATTTGAAGCCTGTGATTGAAAAAGTGCCCCAGCTGGGATGAATAAAAGACGTTCCTACTGCTTTTTGTTCTTCTGCAGCACAAGGTGGTTTAGCTTAAGCTGAGACTTGCTACTTACAAGTTTACGGTAAGCCAGTTTGGATTTTTCATTCTTCAGACCAGCAGCCAACCATGATGGTTGGTGCTCCAGCAGCCACAAACCCCATGTCCATTGTGGGAAGAGGCAGGCAGAACACTGGGTCTTGGCTGCAGGGGCTTGGCTGCAGCTCCTCCATGGCACAAGACCTGCCTCTCACCTAACATACACCATGGCACTAACAAAAGCAGACAACCCCCTGCAAGGGTCTAAGTGCTTTATTGAACCCAAAAATCCTGCTCGGTTTTAGGCTATCTGCTGAGTGAGGCTGAAGTGGTGCAACTGCTGAGTGTGGGGCTGTTACTCCCCACTTGCAGACACAACTGGTGTGGTAAGGAGGGCAAAAAGATGTCCCCTGGGAACAGCAGCCTTCAATTTAACTGCTGTCTGAACGATCAACCAGAACCACAATCTCTGAAACACGTGTGCCTACACCCTTGCACTGCAAATCAATGCAAACAATATCTTCTCTCTTCTGTTTGGTGAAATCGTGCCAATGAGTCTGGTGGGGTGGAAACAGTGATAGTGCCGCCAGCCCAGACAGGCAGGTGTGGATGTGCAGTGACAGGAGGAGCAAAGCCTGAAGCCTTCTGCTCTAAGAAAAAAAAATATTTCAGGAAACACAATGGCAGTGAAATTGCATCAGAATTGGAAATGTGGATGAAAGAGAAGCAGACTCTATGAATTTCTTCAGTTATTTAACTTTACAGATTATGTGGGCATTCCATGTGGATTAGTTAAAGCAAGCTATTTCTCTGCTATTCTTAAAGACATCACATTCAATTACAGGATGAGATTGAATCTCAGTAGAAAAGTTTTGTTTCTTTGGGATTCAGAAGCTAACACTGAATGAAATAGAAAAGAAAACTTGTCTTGTGGTGAAAGGACAAGGAAAAGAACAATTGCATAAGAAAACCTATGTCCAGACCTCTGAACTGCAAAGCAATTGCATGTGTCAAGTTCCCATAACATGATGGTGCCAGCTGAGGCTTATGTTAAAGCAGTGCAATAAAATGAGATGTCTGGAGCTTCGTCGGAAGAATGATGCTATCTCATTAATGGGATTACATAGAAAAATTGGAGGAACTTCAGTCAAGAGGAATAAAATGATTAAGGATCAAAAGACTATGATTCATGAAAGAAAGTTAAAACTGGATACTGTTTCTCTTGCCTGAAAAGCCCAAGTCTCCAAATCACGAAGGCTTGATGGTACAAGGGACACCCCACAATCTCCCCCACTTATGTCTGGAATAACAGTGATGGATCAGATCCTACAGAGAGAAAACTTGAATTATAAAATGTCAGCTTTGTTATGGCAACACTATTATCGCATCACTCAGCAAGGAACGAATAATCAGAGGTGAAAGAGGAGAGAAAGGCTAATTATCTAGAAACAGCTGGAAGATGTAAGTTCCCTTAGAGAAGAATACATTTAGTCAGTGAAAAGAAAAAGGAAAAAAATAAAGAAGATTGTCGCTAGAGAGACTAGGTAAAATTGGCACACTTAGTTAACAACTACAGGGGATTTCTTAGCCATAGGAATGACATACATGCAGAATCATTTTCCCAGGGAAAGTACTGGAAATGACAACTGTTGAATTGTCTGAAGGGAGGCTGGCCATATCCCCATAACCACTTGGTAAGGCTCTGGCATAGACAAAAGTGCACTGGCTACAGGGGAAGGGGAGAAGGAGAAACCATACAGACAGGAAAAGGGGAGCATTGTGGTAGCAGATGTTCCCCAGTCATCACTACTATGTTATGTTGCAGGAAAAATAAATGAATAAGTAAAAAAATATCTCTAAATATAGAATGAGACTTTCCTCACTGAGGGCTTCAACACCTCTCTGCAATCCGCCTTTTAGTTGAAGGATAAATAAAGACTCATTTAAATTCTGCACACATTCACAGAGGTAAACTGATTTCAGAAAGCATTATTATGTCTGAACTCTCTCTCAGTAGGGGTGAAAGCCAGATACTTTGTGAAACGTTTTTATGATAGCTAATATTCTCTAAAAATTCATTAGATGTCAACATAAAGGACAAAAGGCATCACCAAGGAAGAGCAGATGCTACGAGCTACCTACCATACAAAGTATATTAGAATCACTTGACCTGTGTTCCACTGCATCAGCAAAGGGCAGTACTGCTTCAATATCTAGCAATGGTCTCATTTCTTAGCTATTTTAGCAGGGAAAACGTCAAACAAAAACGACACTTCACAACAGGAATCTTTGCTAAGGAGCGCCAGACTTGGAGGTGCCACAGCACAGCCCTTCAGAGCATACCCACAGCTCATGCCATAGGCATTGTGTGCAACGAGAAGCTGCAGATCTCACTGGGGAGCAGCCTTTTCCAACCTCATCTCTGCCCCATCAGATCTCCCAACAAAAGACTGCTTAGGAGAGGTGCATGTGGATACGTGCGCACACACACGTGACAGGTGATCACGCACATTGGCCTTATCCAGCACAATATAACAGCTCTTCCACAGCTAATGAGCAAAGGAGGCTCATGCTCTATTTTTGGAGACCCCCAAGAGCATTTAGATTCCCCACACAACCAACACCTAAGCCAGGCAAAGCCAGTCTGGCTGCCAAACCCTGAACAACAGGCCAAGCTGGGGGCTGGCTCAGGCTCCTTGTGGCTCTACAAGGTGAGGCAAGCTCTGCCATCAAGTGAGTCAGCTCCAATGAAAGATGCACAAGGAGTAGATTTGTTTGCTACTTTTATATGGATTTTTTCCATGGAAGAATGCACTGAGAGCTCTTAAGCTGTTAAACTTTAAAGAAGCAGAGCTTCTTCAGAAGCTATGCTTTGATGTAAGTGGACAATTTCATCCTGTTGCTTAACTGAATCAAGGTCTGACTTCCCCCCATCACCACTACCTCCCTCCACACACCCTTTTTTTAATAGTCAACGTTTTTTAACCTGCAACTCTGCTTGAGTAAGTTTATACCTATACTGATAGTAGAGCCTTCTATACACAAATATGCAACACTTGGCCCTTCATATCCTATATCAATGCCATAACTTGCAGAAAGCAATTACTGTGTTTACAAGGAGTGATGTTCCTTAGAGGATGTCAGAAATCCTCCATAATTCGTACTGTGCCACACATCTCAACTTTTTT